CCAAGTTTCAGCTCAATAGATGGACGGGAAGGGGGTCAATTAGCCGTCCAAAGATTTTTGCCACACACCTACTCAGAAAGCTACAAATGGAAAAATGCGAAGTTAATATAAAAGATTTTAAAAAGAAGGCTCTTTATTACGGTTAGGCCGATTAATTTATGATAAATTTGAGTACATGCTCTAGTGATTTTTTATAAGGGAAAAAATATGGGAAAACCTGAAAAAATGATGGAGGATTTGGGGAATGTCAAAGGCTATACAAATATCACAGCCACGTTTCGTAATGATGGTCATGATTGTTTGTCATAATTTTCATTTTGTGTCACATTTACTGGCTAGATGTGTCCCAATTAACTAGCTAGATACAGCAACAGTTATATTTGTAGTTCCGGTTCACAAGCGCCTGACAGGCAGCGGTAAAATCGCTCTACACTTTCTCATTTTTTGGAATGTTTCTCTCAAGTTTTATTCCTGATAGTTGGATATAGTCGTATCTGAAAGTCTATTTGACGTATGAATATAATTTATTTCGAACATAACTAAGAATTGATAGACTTTTTCTGTGTTTTCCATTCTATATATTAACTAATATAAACAAAAAAGTCAATGCTATTAACAAATACTTCCAGTTCACGAACTGCTTGAACAAGAAGCAGTGAAATCTCTCCACATTTTCTCATTTTGGAATGTTTCTCTCAAATTTGTTATTCCTGGATAGTTGGATATTGTTTAGTAGCTAAACTTTTCACTCATAACAATCAAACAGTGTATTGTGGATAAAGAAATAAGACCATATCTCCCAGTTCTGCGAGATCTCATCAGCTGCAAAGATGGATTAGATTTTTAAGAACACCAGAGCGCAGTGAACGATAGCGGTATCTCTGAAATTCTGCAGGAACGTCAATTGCTACCACGTCAGTAGGAACAGATGGTGGGGCCTTGCAGAAATGCAGCGACTTCTTTGTAGAATTCAGCTGGGATGGAGTCTACACTTGGAGCTTTGCCATGACTTGAGATAATGCATATTTCTTCTTGTGACTTGACCGAGGAAGGGGTACCTGTCTCACCAAGTGTATTCTCTTTCAAAGTTCACTGACAAAGGCGTTGTCTCAATCTTAAAGTCTGTAAATTCATCAATATGATTTAGTGCGCTTCGAGCCTTTGGGGATGAAAGGTGATTTTCAAATAAACTTTATTATTATTATTATTATATTTAGCCTAGCGGCCATAGTGCTACTTTATTCGACCATGCGCCTTTGTCCGCTACTATGGTTGTGATGTAGTTTTGCTGCATGATTAGGCCTATTTCATTTGGCTTACATGCGGTCATTGTGAAAACAGAGAAAACTAGGCATTATTTTTTTTTATAAAATTCATTTCAACTGTTCAGCACGGCAATGTTGAATTTCAGAATATTTTATAATATCTAGTAAGCAGCATAGAAATCTATTTTTAGAATGTGCAAAGCAACTCTATCACCTTAACGATTTATCCCCTGTATGATTTTAATACCGGTAATACAACAGTTTGGTATCGCCATACTTTCCTCCCTCCCCCCCCCCCTTTACACACACACACTCTTTACAGACTACGATAGCTATTAGACTATATTGTGTTCATGTAAAATATAAGGCACAATTTTTTTCCCTGACTAATGAGGGTGGGTAAGGTTGGTGGCCAAATGAAATATTAACGTCACCAACAGTGTGTTGTCACAAGGCTAAATATTACTATAGCTATACCTAACAAGCTATTTATGAAAACACGAAGCATTAGTATGCCCATAACTGCAAAACATTGTGGTGATATTTTGATAGCCTTATAGGCCTAATGAGGCGTTATGACTTTAACAGATTTTCAGGTGTTGTACACATGCTCATTGCATACGTAAAATATGGATGCCCACTTACGTTGACAGGGTGCGGTAGGGGGTATGAAAATATGATTTAAAATTTTTTTTTGGGCATACTGGGGATGTTATATAGAGATGTCCCCATTGTCCTTTTTCAAGACTACTTATTTTAAAAAAGAAAAAATATATTCTAAACTGCTCCGCACAGCAGCGTTAGATTTTGACATAGTCTATAAGAACTAGTAAGTGGCATTTTAAATCTGTTTTTAGAAGTCACTAAGCAGCTGTACAATTTTAATAGCCCAGTATTGTCCCATTTATTCTCTTCCCTTCTCCCAATACAGCCTGAGGTAGTTTTAGACCTCAAAATGTGATGTGAAAATAAAATCAGGCTCTTAGGCTGAATGCAGGGTGGACTACCTGTGGCCCACCACGTTAAATGTTGTGGCCCACTGGATGTATCACAACTGAACTTATTTATTCATTCATATAGCGATTATTTTAATTTTGGCACAAATGGAGATTTTTCATTTATATATTTATGTCATTTTTTTTAACAACGGTACTCGCCATTTGGTTGTAGTGCCCACATTTTGGACTGATTGAAAAAAAAATAAGTAATAAATTATAAAATAATTTTACCATTATTTTTTTTTTATACTAAAATAAAAAAGGATTTATGTAAACAAAGATAGGTGAAGTCTAGAATGATTCAAAACTATATTGAAGTAAACACAAAAGTGCATCTCTGTATTTTGACTTTATTTTAAAAATTCTGGTAAGGGGCTTCGGCAGGTGTCATCAATTTCTGCTCCCCAAACACATCTTGGCCTATCACAGTGGCAATGTTGGGCACATTTTCATTTGCAATAATGCACTGTATATAAATATATAAACATCAGTCATCTACTTTGAAAAGTGACTTTTATTAGAAATGCAATGTGAATAGTCATTTTATACATTATACTGCATGTTCATTTACTAGTACAATACCATATTGACATTTCTGAGATGGTAAAGTCTATTCTGAGACTATATTCTACTGTTTTAGAAGTCCCAGTGTAACCAGGTCAGGTGTGTGTGTGTGTCTTTAAGATAAACATGGATGGGCAGACACCATTGGGTGGACAGTTAGATATATATAATGATTTAGTTATGCGAACACATGCCCACTTCATACAAACACATTGTAAAGATTGACTTATTTTTATTACCATATTAATTTAAAACAAAGACAAAGAAAGTGCTTGGATGGGAAAACTTGTAAAACAGAGGAACACATTAACTCTGGTTCCTAGTTACACATGTCGGCACTCAGTGACAAGTCAACAGGAATAATTATTCTACAGAGCTTTTGCCTTTGACAGTATTTATGACCAATGGTTTTTCTAACATAATAAATGGAACCTGAATCCTATAAGCTTTTCTTTTATGGCTCTGTGACAGTTATAAGAACAGAGTAAGGCACCTTTTAACATCTGATAGCTTTGTGGTGGTGTGCTCTCTGTCTTTGAGGCAAATATTAATGCACTTTCTATAGTAAGGGGTAGAAATGATTAAAAATTTAATTATTAGAATAATGAAATCATGCTATGTCTTACTTTATGCAAACCTTTTACTTAAAAAAGTAGTTAATTATTTAAGTTTTTATTGGTGGTAGTATCTCTTAAATTGAAAATTAAAGATAGTTTTAAAAATCGAAATATACTAAGGTGAGCTTTTAGAAAGTCTTGTTGTATTATCAAAGTTAACAGTTTCAAAAGCACTGTGCACCATTTCACACGCATTTAAAAAAAAAAACTTTTGATTATTTGAGTATACAGTACGTTTATTCCCAATGTAGCACAGTACTTCCTCATCATGTTTGAATTGTTGATGTTGAAATGGTGAGGGGAAAGGGTGGTGGGGGAGGATGGGTGTTAAAATTGCAGGAGTCGTAAAACATTGAAGGAATAGGTGAACATCATAACTATTTTGAGGCCCACAATGTTATAGAGTAGCACTTGAAGGATTTCAATCCGTCTACTTCCTCCTACTCGTATAAGTGATCCATGTTGAGAATAAGGATCCATGACATAAAATAAAGTTAATCTATGAAAAGTTTTTGTTTTAACCATTAGAATCGATCAAATGGTACGTAAATAATGAATAATTAAGCATTTTCTAACCACCCTTTCCTTTGTTCACAGGTATTAAATCACCCAAACATTTTACAAAGTTTACTTGATGGAAAATTAAGTGCCTTTGTTATAGAATTATTCGTCTATGTACCAGAAACGATGTATTTGTTCATTTCTTAGCTATTTTGCACACAGATTAGATTTTGTATGGTTTCAATTATTTTTAATGAGTCCTACATTTCTCCTGGTGATGAGCTAAACATTACCTTAACCAGAGTTTCATTAGTATTAGTAGGCATTTATTTTGGACTAAAGAAATATTTTTTCAATAATATCGAAATGAACAAGTCAGAACTGAGTAAAAAAAAAAAGGAAATCTGGATTATTTTGAAATAAATAATGTTTGACTTGATCTCATTAGGGAAGGGGGACTATGTTGAAATAAATAATGTTTGACTTGATCTCATTAGGGAAGGGGGACTATGTTGAAATAAATATTTGACTTGATCTCATTAGGGAAGGGGGACTATGTTGAAATAAATGTTTGACTTGATCTCATTAGGGAAAGGGGACTATGTTGAAATAAATGTTTGACTTGATCTCATTAGGGAAGGGGGACTATGTTGAAATAAATGTTTGACTTGATCTCATTAGGGAAGGGGGACTATGTTGAAATAAATGTTTGACTTGATCTCATTAGGGAAGGGGCACTATGTTGAAATAAATGTTTGACTTGATCTCATTAGGGAAGGGGGACTATGTTGAAATAAATGTTTGACTTGATCTCATTAGGGAAGGGGGACTGCTAAAATAAATAAAATAATGTTTGAATTGATCTCATAAACCAGGCTGAACAGGTTAACACTTGCTGTGTTTATAGTGGTGGGAATGAATTCTAAAGGGCCCATTTAGTATCTTCATATCATCCCTAGTTAGGAGCTATGTGCAAGATAACAATTAATTGACTGATAGCAGACACAGTTTTCTGAAAGTGTGTGATCATTGGAGAACTGTCAGTTTCTTTCCACACAAGAGCTTCAAGGTGTGCCATAATCAGTTGGTTGCTATCTTTGGTGAACAGTGTCACTGGTTGATTCTAAAATGGAGATGAACTTACTAGATGTTGACAATGAAAACAGTTCTGTGTGGTTTTAAGGGCCATCCAAATACAAATCAAAACAGATTCAACTTTTAAGAAAATATTGAGTTTAAATATGTTGCCTGATGGTTGTGTTAATTGTTATTGCTTTCTATTGAGATCTTATTTATGAGATCTGATTGTGTGACTCCTGGTGTCAAAAACTGTTGACAAGAATATTCCCATTTTGTGGTGGAGACAAAGTACAACTACAATTATATGTGAACATATCTTACTGTTGATCAGCTAACAATGATTCATTCACGGAAACAATTTATGCTTTATGGATATTATGACAATGAAAGCGACGATGACGGTAAGCTAGATGCCTTTAAATGATGTAGTGGAAAGGTTGTGTTTGACAGCACTAATGTAGCAACTTGTTTGTTTTTATATCCCAGCTACCAGTATGATATCCCATTCTCCAGCTACGAGTATGATATCCCATACTCCAGCAACCAGTATGATATTCTATACTCCAGCTACCAGTATGATATACCATACTCCAGCTACCAGTATGATATACCATGTCCCAGCTACCAGTCTGATATCCCATACTCCAGCTGCCACTATGATATCCCATACTCCAGCTACCAGTATGATATCCCATACTCCAGCAACCAGTATGATATCCCATACTCCAGCTACCAGTATGATATCCCATACTCCAGTTACCAGTATGATATCCCATATTCCAGCTACCAGTATGATATCCTATACTCCAGCTACCAGTATGATATCCTATACTCCAGCTACCAGTATGATATCCCAATAAATATAAAATAAATAAGAATTTAAAGTCAACTGCTTGATTTCCAGTGTACTATGGGGAGGGCTGCGTTCACGTAGAGATAATATGAAATATAAAACAGCGAGTTAGGGAAATTCTTCCAGGTTTCACCCTACATTGTACGTTAGACTTATTTCAAACCAGTTTTGAAGGAATTTGAAATTGTTTTTAGGTATAGATCAAAACTGAGTGTACTGGCAAAGTCAAAACATTGTTCAAATTAAACATAGTCAAACAAATGCATCCATATTTTTTTTTTATTATTAAGAAAAGAATGGAATGCATTATTTAGTTCCGATTTAACTCGGTGACAAAGGGATTTATAAAAATGCTTGTCCTTGACCTTAATATCTCCCTTGCTCCAAGTGTCCCATCATGTCAGGGAATTGGAGCATGGAACAAGCGGTTCAAGTCCTATTATTTTAAAATCACTCAATTCATCAATTTCATCATTGTCCAGATTATTGAATGAACAGAATTCAGCTGATTGCCACCGCATACATACATGCATAGTTTGCATTGTATTGTAACGGTCTAAATGTGCAGTCCTGGCATTGTTCTTCATAGCCACTGCATACATACATGCATAGCTTGCATTGTATTGTAACGGCTCTAAATGTACAGTCCTAGCATTGTTCTTCATAGCCACCGCATACATACATGCATAGCTTGCATTGTATTGTAACGGCTCTAAATGGACAGTCCTAGCATTGTTCTTCATAGCCACCGCATACATACATGCATAGCTTGCATTGTATTGTAACAGCTCTAAATGGACAGTCCTAGCATTGTTCTTCATAGCCACCGCATACATACATGCATAGCTTGCATTGTATTATAACAGCTCTAAATAGACAGTCCTAGAATTGTTCTTCATAGCCACCGCATACATACATGCATAGTTTGCATTGTATTGTAACGGGTCTAAATGTGCAGTCCTGGCATTGTTCTTCATAGCCACCGCATACATACATACATGCATAGCTTGCATTGTATTGTAACAGCTCTAAATGGACAGTCCTAGCATTGTTCTTCATAGCCACCGCATACATACATGCATAGCTTGCATTGTATTGTAACAGCTCTAAATGGACAGTCCTAGAATTGCTCTTCATAGCCACCGCATACATACATGCATAACTTGCATTGTATTGTAACAGCTCTAAATGGACAGTCCTAGCATTGTTCTTCATGTTTGTTATGTACAATATCTAATAACTGAAAGGAGCAGGGGAGGCTAATGAAGTGTGGCAAGGGAGGTGATACGTGAGTAGTTATTGCTACCTTCGTTAATAAGCACTGTCAATACTTTACGCATCTGTTGGTATAGTTTGGTAGAGTGACAATAGCCACTGTCAATACTTTACACATCTGTTGGTATAGTTTGGTAGAGTGACAATAGCCACTGTCAATACTTTACGCATCTGTCGGTATAGTTTGGTAGAGTGACAATAGCCACTGTCAATACTTTACACATCTGTTGGTATAGTTTGGTAGAGTGACAATAGCCACTGTACACATTGTGCATCTATTGATATTTTACAGGGCCAAGGCCTTAATTTTGTTTCCCACCATATCTCCATATTTAATGTCAATCTAGAAGGTGGGGTGGGGTGCTTTGCATCCCATTCCTGTTTGTGTTATGTGTCACCCTGTTTGTGTTATGTGTCACCATGTAATATTTGCACTGAAAGGTATTTCCCCCTTTTCTTTTATTCCTAGATTTCTTACTGCCTGATGACCTCTAGAGCACTAATTCCCACTACCAAAAGTACATTTCCCTTGCCCCATGTTGTTAAGTCCATCCTATCTTCCAATGCATGTTTATTCTGACGCTGGTATGTTGTTGTTTTTTTTGCCCTCGCTTTTTTTTCTCACTTGCTTAGTGTTAATTGAAGAGACTAGTCCTTAAGCAGACTAGTCATTAAGCAGACTGGTCATACAAAACTGTGGCTTAAAGTTAAAGGTGATCCACGGAATGACAGCGGAACTGCCAGGTGATTTCACAGTAAAGCTTTATGATTTGTGCCATGACGGTACTTTTGGGGTTTTCACGGGTTGTCATGCTCTGATAGGTTTTAGTGCTTCCTCTGAATGAGCTACTTAGAATTAAGTTATCTTGTTTTGTCTTGTTGTTTTTTTCTTCCTTCTGTAGATTGCTAACTGTCAAAGTTGGATGGGTCTTTTATGCAAATAGAATTTTATGGGAATGAATGGAATTTCCCTGCTATCATGTATTTTAACTTCTTTGTTGGAAGGGGTGGGGCAACTGTTTCTTATTATTTGTTTGAAACAGTTTTGTTCTTGTTCTATAACTTACATTTGCTTGATTTATCCAATAAACCCTTCGCCTTCAGCTCTCTAACTTTGCACTAAAAAATATCATTTTAATCTGACTAACAGTGAAAGCAGTTATTAAGATGACATTTCGACCTAACTGACTGGGAACATCATTTGCTTTGATTTGCTCTTTAAGGTTTCATAACAAAATTCCGAGTTTTTACCTTTTAATAAATTGGGAAGTTTTAATGTTGGCTTTTACTTTTCTGTTTGTTTAAATTCAACTGCCCAGATCCTCTTTTGTTTTTAAAATCAACTGCCCAGATCGTCTTTGGTTTTTAAAATCAACTGCCCAGATCCTCTTTTGTTTTTAAAATCAACTGCCCAGATCGTCTTTTGTTTTTAAAATCAACTGCCCAGATCGTCTTTTGTTTTTAAAATCAACTGCCCAGATCGTCTTTTGTTTTTAAAATCAACTGCCCAGATCCTCTTTTGTTTTTAAAATCAACTGCCCAGATCGTCTTTTGTTTTTAAAATCAACTGCCCAGATCCTCTTTTGTTTTTAAAATCAACTGCCCAGATCGTCTTTGGTTTTTAAAATCAACTGCCCAGATCGTCTTTGGTTTTTAAAATCAACTGCCCAGATCGTCTTTTGTTTTTAAAATCAACTGCCCAGATCGTCTTTTGTTTTTAAAATCAACTGCCCAGATCGTCTTTTGTTTTTAAAATCAACTGCCCAGATCGTCTTTTGTTTTTAAAATCAACTGCCCAGATCGTCTTTTGTTTTTAAAATCAACTGCCCAGATCGTCTTTTGTTTTTAAAAATATGATTTTGCCATCTGTTGAATAATCGTCCTTTAATCTTAAATTGGAGCCATCGTCTCACCCTTACAAGATTCTCTAATCCCTGACGCCATCTTTAATCAGTTAGAACTGACTACTCTTCTATGATATGTTGACAGTAAAATTTTGAAATATCGGAACCTGTCTACTTTTTAACTAGTCTATACCTTTCTGTGTAAATACATAATTACATAAGTCAACATCTCCATAATTTTCAAAGGGTCAGTTTACATCTTGATAAGCCAACGGATTGTTTTACCTGTCCAAAACTGAAATTGCAGCGCTCGCACTTATTGAACTGATGTTAAATTTAACTCCACAGTGAACTCCGAAGCCAATGCCAGGAGGATAAACAACGTAGAGCAATGTTTTGGATCTTCTGGCCAGGTGAGCATAGTTTTTTTGGAACATATTCTATTGTTGACTTTGAAGGTTATGTAAAGGAAATATCATTGAAGTATTCATTAAATATCTGTTCATTATAATTATAACTATTGAATACTAATTAAATATCTGTTAATTTTAACTATTGAATACTATTTAAGTATCTGAAATGAGATTTTAACATAATTTTGCCAGTCTATTTACACACTGAAAAAAGTCATCTTAGAAAGTTTCTTGTTTTAGCCACTCATCTTTTGGATGCATGACTTATTTAGTTGTTATCTCCTTTCAGCCACTCGGCATACCCGGCCGGGTATTAGTCGGCGAAGGTGTATTAACAAAAATGTGTCGCAAAAAGCCTAAGCCGCGCCAGTTCTTCCTCTTTAACGATGCTCTAGTCTACGGAAATATTATCATTCACAAAAAAAAGGTAACAATTTGTTGTTTGCCTAACCTATGGGACATCAAAATTTGAATCATGGTGCTTGATGGCCATCATGAAATATAATTGAAATGTAATCCGCCTATTATTTATCGTAAAATTACTACTGTTGTTAAATTGATTGTCTTGAAAATAGTATATGTTGAGGAGTAGATATTTTATTCACTTAAAGTCTGTTGCTTGTGTGGAAAATATGGTATCGTTAGAACAATTAATAAAAAACCTGATTAAATCTGACCAATTTAAGGCCAAACCGTTTTTAATTGATTAGCCTGAACGCAGCAAATGTGTCTTCTGGTCCGCTCAATGGAATAGTAGGGATGCATGAATGATTTGCCAGGAATATCAGAGAGTCATAAGTATGGAATAGTACAAGATTATTTTAATGGGGTGAACATTTTTTAAGAGGAATCCTCCCATTTCTTCCCCAGTACAATAAGCAACACATATTACCGCTGGAAGACGTCAAGTTAGACAACGTGGCCGATGAAGGAAGTAGGTGCTAGACATGATTTTTATGTTTATGTTTAAAAAAGAATGAAATTAAGCTAAGTTTACACGGTCCAAGGTTTAGAAAATCAGACAATAAAAACCAGTGTTTGCTTGATGCTCACATTTCAGATCTGCGCAATGGTTGGAAGATAATGAGTCCCAGCAAGTCTTTCATTGTCTATGCAGCAACAGCAACAGAGAAAAAGGAGTGGATGGCCCATATACGAAAGTGTGTCAATGATATTTTAGCTCAAAGTAAGGAACTCCACTTACAGAAATGAACATTTTTGTTACAGTTGAACAATTTTTTAAACACTATTTCAAGAAATATGTCAGCTAGATTTTCATTTACCAACCCACTCCTAATGACACCTACCCACTCCTAATAACACCTACCCACTCCTAATGACATGTACCCACTCCTAATGACACCTGCCCACTCCTCATGACAGACACCTGCCCACTCCTCACCACATTGAACTATCCCACCATCACTTTTACACTGACAGAAACATGGCCAAGTATTTACCAGTTTTGATGGAAATCATTTTTTATTTTCATTTTAATTCCCTTATTTCTTTTTCTATATGGATTAAAAAAATTTTTTTTTAAATTGAATACATTGATTTTTCTAAAAATGGATCTATTTTGACAAAGAGTGCTGGTCCAATTACATCAGAGCTTGAAGCTTATCCTACTGTGCCGAAATATGTCCTAAATGTTTTGTTGTCACCTTTGAACACTACAGGAGGTCTCCGCCAGAGCACATCAATAGACTCTCCGGTTTGGGTTCCTGATTCAGAGGCCAAGACTTGTATGCACTGTAGAAAGTCTGAGTTTACAGTCGTCAATAGAAGGGTGAGCTACATTGTCAGTCTTACTCTCAAGTTTTACCGTCCAGTTGCTATAAACTTTTATTAGTATGTGGGGGTGGGGGGGCTGTTCGTACACCACTACTAGCATTATATAAACCAAATGTATCAGAATGTTTGATCAATATTTATTTCAACAGCTAGATTAAACAAACAAATCTGAATGTTTAAACCAGATCGTCTGCCTTTGATTTGTGTGAAAGGCTCGTTGAGTTACTTTCTTTTACCTCAAGCTGTGATTATCATACATTTTCCCATGCCAGCCATATTATGCTACTACTTCTGTTTATACTGAACAACCTTAGGGGCGCTTGTATATAAAGGGTGTCCACATAAAATATGCATATAATATATGTTTTTTCTGCACTTTTTGTCCCAATGTGGCTTACCCACCCCATCCTTCGGGGTATAGACTGCGGCAATTTTGAAATACCAGGAAGTATAACGGTTATAAAGAGCAAAGAGTCATTAGATTTAAACTTATGGGTCCATCCATATATTACGTATGGCCCACTGCCACAACAGTATGTCATTCAAATATTACGTATGACCCACTGCCACTACAGTATGTCATCCATATATTATGTATGGCCCACTGCCATGACAGTATGTCATTGATATATTACGTATGACCCACTGCCATGACAGTATGTCATCCATATATTATGTATGGCCCACTGCCATGTCAGTATGTCATCCATATATTACGTATGGCCTACTGCCACGACAGTATGTCATCCATGTATTGCGTATGTCCCACTGCCATGACAGTATGTCATCCATATATTACTTATGGCCCACTGCCACGACAGTATGTCATCCATGTATTGCGTATGTCCCACTGCCATGACAGTATGTCATCCATATATTACTTATGGCCCACTGCCACGATAGTATGTCATATAATTTACAATTTGCCTAATGGGGGGATGAAAGCTTATTTACATACTCTTTAGGGGGGGGGGTGTTAAAATTTGAATTATGCAAATTTTTTATATATACCAACAAAATAATTAGAGGGAATTTTTAATAAAGGTTTGGTTCTTTATGATTATTTGTTCAAATTTTGTTAAAGAGATGATCCATCCAGGCACACAGCCACGATAGTATGTCATATAATTTACAATTTGCCTAATGGGGGGATGAAAGCTTATTTACATACTCTTTAGGGGGGGGGGGTGTTAAAATTTGAATTATGCAAATTTTTTATATATACCAACAAAATAATTAGAGTGAATTTTTAATAAAGGTTTGGTTCTTTATGATTATTTGTTCAAAATGTGCTAAAGAGATGATCCATCCAGGCACACAGGCAGTGGGGGGTAGAGCAGCATGTTCAAAATGACCTAAAGAGATGATCCATCCAGGCACACAAACAGTGGGGGGTAGAGCATCATGTTCAAAATGACCTAAAGAGATGATCCATCCAGGCACACAGGCAGTGGGGGGTAGAGCAGCATTAGAGATCCTCCTTCACACCCTGCTTCCGTCTGGTGGCATTTGAACACACACCCCTTAAATCTATGTGGATGACCTTTATGCACAGCCCCTTATCACGCCAGAAAAGAGAGTGAAGTTGTGTTTTGTGCAATGGAAATGAAAATTCAAAATCTTGTAACAAAATAAAGGAGGATTATTGTCCCAATTAGTATTATTATTCAACAGATTGATAATTTTAAAATATTTTTCTTGAAGCTAAATATTTTTGGCCATAATTACTAAAAATAAAAAGAAACATATGTGTGACAAATGTCTATGGATGCCATTACAATCTATACAGTGAAACCTGGGAATAGCCCATCCTTGGTAGCAATTCAAAGGTAGTGCTATATGCACGGATGAAACTTTTGGCAGGTTCAACCAGAATGATGATCTGGCCCAATAATTAGGAAGAAGACATGTATAGTGAAAATAAGAAGAAATGAGTAAACAAAGATAGTATATAGTTTTCAGAGTAAACAGAGATGGTATATAGTTTTCATATGTGTCTAATAACCACAAAACCATTGGGGAAACTAAGCAAGGTTTTATTAAACATGAAGTCATTTATATCAACATGTCGGCCTACATGTACATGTACAGTATTTGACAACTCTGTCTGGAACATGTGCAGTGTGGCCATTTTGATTGCCTTGCTTTTACCATGGATTGGCAAAATGTACATACCGTTCCCATACATCATTCACAGCACTTAGTCTCTTAGCAACATGCTGTTTCATCCTGATTTTATTTTTTTTTTAAATTTCTCTTGTAAGCTGATTAGCCAAGCAAATGATCTAGGTCACACCCTGTGCATGATGTTAAAAATTTGTGACATGGTGTGTGTCATTCACAGAGAAAAATACATATTGTCCTTCAGAAACCCTTACACACTTAGGATTTGACAGTATCGGACTATTTCCCTATGTGACGGGACTATTTCCCCGGTGGGTTTCATTTAAAAATTTATCCATGTGGTGTGAGAGTTAGTGCTATTTCAAGGTTTGCAATTCACAGGTTTTACTGTACTCCATACTTCAAGACAAAAAGTTATGACAGAGCTGGGGTAAATGATTGAAATTGTAAGGAAGCTTTTATTTGCTTTTACAAAACTTTAAAAACATCCTTTATTTTTTTTAAACATAATTTTTCCATGTGCAGCATCATTGTCGACACTGTGGCATAGTGGCCTGTAACCCCTGTACGGGCAAACGCTGGCTCCTCCCACAACAGAGCTCTAAACCAATCAGAGTTTGCCTTACTTGCTACCAGAAATTATCCAATGAAGCCTCAGAGTTTTCAGCATCCAGAAAGCGTAAGCAATTTTAATACTCATTTCATATCTAGTATTACTCTGATTGCTTTTTGTCCTTGGCATGCTAAGATGACCAAGGCAATTTTCTACTTGAGTAGTAGCCTTGCTTGAGCTGTATTTTGTTTAAAGTGTGGGAGAGTTGCTCAATTCCTCAACCTCACTCTCTCTTCTTTGATCCCATGACAAGAATTAGTCAAGACGACTGGAAATAGACCAGGATGCATTAGATGACCAGCAGTGATTTGTTTGTTTGTTTTGTGTTTCACTGTGCTGTTTCTGCGTTCAATGTTGCAGGAGTTGTTGGAGTTTTCATTGTGTCAATGTCATCTAGGATATGAAGGTCATGTGAGATGGTCACATACTACTAGTTACATTTTTCCTCAACTAACCTCATATACATCAAGTCTTCAAATTGAAAACTTATTTTAATTAAATCCCTAATAAGATAACAAAATCAACTGAAATATTCTTGACTTAAAATGTTTTAAATCAGCCCAAGTTGATTGATCCAAGTATTTGTTAGCCTGCCCCCTGGTGCTCTGATTAGGATGTTGAGAATGTTTCAGTTGGAAAGACAGAATGTCAAAATTGTTGCTGTAACAATTCTAAATTATTTGTTTACATTTCTCAGACATTTAACTACCTGTACTGAAAAATGGGTGTATTCCTAGAATCATTAACAGGACTGTTACAATAGTACATTTGGTAGACTGCATATGATATTTTTATGTGATGTATCAGTCTGTTAAACTCAGATTGTTAAACTCAGATTTAACTGTTTCAACATATTTGCTTTTTAACAAATGTGCTTGCCTTTTTGTGTCTGTAGACTCTGTGATAACAGGGGGAGATCATCCCAATTCTTCAGGTGAGGACTCTTCAGAAGATGACGATGACCCGGCAAGAGATGGAATGCCATCAGCTGATCAAATTGCTATTCATGATGTGAGTTTATACTATAAACATTTATATACATATATTTTTAAACTAATAAATTAATGCCCTTTTTCTCTTGTATTTTAGTCATTCATGTTATGAAGAGATTTATTAATTTGAGAAAATTTATGTACGAAATTTTATTTATCACCAATAATAATTCTCTTGTTGTGCTGCGTTTAATAAGTGTGGTAAAAAAAATTTCCATAAGTTAAAAATAATTTGGATTCTTATAAAGTGCGTCACTTGAAGCATATTTGATCAAGTAACTTTATTTTAGGAATCTCATGCATTGCCGCCACCATTGTTGGTCAGTTTATTTCTGGTAACTGAATCATAAAAGTTGTAGAACATAATTGGTTTATACGTATCATTTCAGGCACACTTTCAAAGTTATGATTAGCAGACTTCAACTTTACAATGAGCAAAGAGTGTCCACTCTACTTAATGAGGGGATAGAGGTGACCAGTCCTGGACATCAATGATAATAACGTCTCCATCCAAGTGTGTTTGTGTTCAGTGTGGGGATTTTTAAAAATAGATATGTAGTTTTCATTAACCCTCATCATTTAGAAATAAATATTTAAAAAAAAAATAAAGCTCCTATGACAATAAAAGCATCTGTGTATGAAGAAGATAGACTGTCTTTAAGTTCAACTCTTTGAAATGTATTAGACAAAACATTGATCAACTTTTCAATCAAATGCCATGATTTATGGAAAAGAAACCAATAACTTCCAATAAGTCTTATTTAGAAAATGTTCAAGCTCATTCCACCCCCTCTCGGCTACAGGGATGTGAATCAAAAACTTGTACTGTTGGGGTCAGTCAAAGGAAGGATTTGATTACATTTGAACATTCTACCTACACCCGGGTATATTGTTAGTGTATCTGGTTATGTCTTTTTCTAGACCCCCCTTTTATCGCAATTTTTTTAAATGTATTTATTTTTTATTCCTTTTTGATTTTAGGTATTGTGGTGGGGGGGGGGGGTGTTGTTATCTGGCTTGACAGCTAAAGTCAGCATCTAAAAAATGAATTGTTTGTGTTTCTGACTTGTTCTTCATGAACTTTCAAGCGATTTAAGGGTCAAATAAACTATAGTCACAAGAAAGAAAGATTTATTGCTGAAAAATTCATATAGCATAATTCAACTTGAATGTTTCCATCAGCAATGGCAGCTTAAAGATGATAACTATGTCAAGTTATCCTGAACAACCACCTGAGAATCATATAATGGAAGTAGTGAAGTAGTCATAGAATTGCCTTTGTTGAGATGGTATTGTAGAGTTGCAAATGATGAAGTGAAAATATGAGTCTAGTTGTCTGTTGTGTTTTCTCTTACTATACTATAAAATAGACGAGGTTCACCTCATGTTACGTCTGCTTGGATTAGATATTATTTCAATAGTTAGGCTTTTAATTGTGTATCCAGAAATGACACTCAATGTACAGTACATACTGGATGTACAGTACACACCAGATGAACACTGGATGTACAGTCCACGCTGGATGTACATTGGATGAACACTGGATATGCACTAGCTGTGCGCTAGATGTAGATTATTTCAAAAGAAAGAGTTATGTGTCCAGTATGCAAGAATGTAAACATGTATTGAAAACACATTTCTTTGGAAATACTAAAGAAAACAAAAGATAGTCACATCATGAATTTTTCATGAAAATTATTCACTTGAGTTTTCATTATGATCCTGCTGATAACACCCAAAAGAGTGGGGGGGGGGGGGGGGGGCCTTCCTACCTTGAGAATTTTTTTTTTAATAATCCGAGAAGAAGATAAAATGTATCTGATAATGTATGAGCCAGTCCGTGATGACGAAATAAAACCTTGTGGATTTCATGAGCCATTGACCTATGAATCCATGTAAGAGCCAGTATAGAAACAGATTGGTTGTAAGACAACCAATGATGAAACTGATTGGTTGTAAGACAAGCAATGATGAAACTGATTGGTTGTAAGACAAGCAATGATGAAACTGATTGGTTGTAAGACAACCAATGATGAAACTGATTGGTTGTAAGACAAGCAATGATGAAAGATCACTAGAACCTGGCGGGTGTCTTGTTTTCCTTTAACAATTGTTTCTTTTCATTTTTATTTACAGAAAGGCTATGAATTTTTTGTTTTAAAAAATCTTTTTAATGCATGTCAATTTTATTCATTTATGATTGAACTGTATCAACAGGATGAACGTTGTTGACGGTCTAACTGTTGAACTTTTAAAATAATTCATACACCTTCATTCTGTATCTTTGATTAGCCTTGTAATATAAACCTGAAAATATCTCATAACTACTAGTCCTCGCCTATCATGCGTTAGAACCCTGTCTACAATAGACTAGGTTCACTGATGCTGCTATGAACAAAAATCTATCTATGTAACACAGAATCTATCTATGTAACACAGAATCTATCTATGTAACACATCACCTATGACAAATTGAACAAATTTAAATCCTGAACATTTGATTTTCAAAATTTTGAAATCCATGAATCTTATTTCTGGTTAAGTTGAACTGAATCCTCCTGTTAGTTTATTTCTGATTAAGTTGAACTGAATCCTCCTGTTAGTTTATTTCTGGTTAAGTTGAACTGAATCCTCCTGTTAGTTTATTTCTGATTAAGTTGAACTGAATCCTCCTGTTAGTTTATTTCTGGTTAAGTTGAACTGAATCCTCCTGTTAGTTTATTTCTGGTTAAGTTGAACTGAATCCTCCCTGTTAGTTTATTTCTGATTAAGTTGAACTGAATCCTCCTGTTAGTTTATTTCTGGTTAAGTTGAACTGAATCCTCCCTGTTAGTTTATTTCTGATTAAGTTGAACTGAATCCTCCCTGTTAGTTTATTTCTGATTAAGTTGAACTGAATCCTCCTGTTAGTTTATTTCTGATTAAGTTGAACTGAATCCTCCCTGTTAGTTTATTTCTGATTAAGTTGAACTGAATCCTCCCTGTTAGTTTTTTAACGTTAACCATCCCAAGGTGTCTTTTTTTTAAATTTCTGATTCCAACAACTGTAACGGTTGAACACGTTGAATCACTTTAAAACATAATCTATAATTTTAAAAAAACAAAACTTAGTATTTTTATGTACCATAACAAAAATTGTTGCATTGTTACATTTTGTGCATGTGTGAAATGTGTTTCAAATACAAGAAAATTTGGATTGCATTGTCATACACTTCTAACTGGAAGTGAAGGATTTGATTGATTGTTTCTATTAGTTCAGTGATTTTATCTGTACAAGGAAGGAAAGGAAGAAAGTCGGTTGTGAAACTTGTTAATGAAGAGTGAGCACCCTGCTGTCAGCTGATTTGACCTGTTGGATCTGACAGTAACTTGAATGAGATTACCATTTATCCAAATAGTGGTCTCATTGGATACACTGTTAACTGTCCAAGGAAAGATGGCCGACCTCTGGTTTAGAATTTTATTTTTAATGACCAATCACTGGTTTTTTTTTTAAAAACTTAATTGTAGTAATTTGATTTCACTGATTTGACCAATGCCTATTTGAAAAGAAGTTTCCTTCATCTGAAGAGAATTATGTAACTGTTTTTACTAAGCTAATAAAGTCACTATTTAATAAATCAACTCATGTACAATCAGTCCACTTTTACTATCCACTCGTCATCATTTGGGGCAAAAAGCAGCTCGATCTACTTCTGGTAATATTTAAAATTTTAAGTGTCATGTAACGTATTTGAATCTTGTAGAGGATACATCAGACCATGGTAATCTACATTAAACTTTTATTGTTCAATAAACCTGGCCAAATGTATGAAAATCTCCTTTGAACCGCCCACAAGCGGACAATGCCACGCATTCTCCTGAAATATTTATCCACAAAATGTCTTCTTTAGAACTAGCAATTTCTTATTGCAAATGTCACTACATCGGTATTGTTCGAGGTAATGCAGTCCAAATGTCAATACTTGGGTAATATAGGAAACAATTCATAGTTCAAGTGTCACTACATTGGTATTGTTCCAGGTAATGCAGTCCAAATGTCAATACTTGGGTAATATAGGAAACAATTCATAGTTCAAATGTCACTACATTGGTATTGTTCGAGGTAATGCAGTCCAAATGTCAATACTTGAGTAATATAGGAAACAATTCATAGTTCAAATGTCACTACACTGGTACGTGGGTAAGGTACCAGACAATGCATAGTCAAAATGTCAATACATGGGTTAAGTATGAAAAAATTCAGTTTAAATGTCACGACATGGGTATTGTGTGAGACAATGCAGTCCAGATTTCACTACCGTAGGTGGGTACTGTACAAGACAGTGCATAGTCCAAATGTCACTACATGGGTATTGTGTGAGATAATGCATTTAGTCCAAATGTCACCGAGTGTTGAACAAGACAATGCATAATCCAAATATCACTACGTGGCTATTGTACGTCCTTTGGAAAGGTTGTGTTTTTATGCTTCTTATTTCTGTTGTGTTAAGTGCAGCAAGACTTAGCTTTTTATCCTAATGGATACAGGTTGCATTCAATGTATCCATGCCCTTCGTAGCATTTGTCTTATTAAAAAAAAATAGTGCGCTACGATACAACAGCTGTGATTCCCAGATTTATATTAGGGATTCTCAAGCCTTATTTGAATAATATAAAGAAATTTTAAAGACCCTTTTAATGTCAACCATACCAATAAATTAATGTTATGATGAAGTTAATGTAAATGAATTTGGAAGAAATACATTCAAAATGTCATTCCACATGGTGAAGATGCTTTTTCACTATGTAAACAATTTAAACCTAAAATAGACCTTGGTTGTTTTTCTTCAAATGCAAAGTTTTGAGATTTTATTTTGTATTTCAACTGTGTTAAACGTTTGCTTCGATTTAGCTGATATTTTTATCAACGCCATTATTAATTAAACTATCAGTATTCAAATTATTTTAAAAAATAGAAAAATGATTGAAGCAATTATTTTGTGTTTGATGACCCCCTTAAAGAAATTGATCAGAACTGAAACGAGGAGGGGATTTATTTGTCTTATCAGATGATCTTTTCAATGAGGTTCTTAAAGAACATATAAAGTGGTAAGACTTATTTTTGGATAAAATTTAACAAAATGGTGTTTTTTTTAAAATACTTTTTTTATATTTATTGTAATAATACATAAGAGTTCTTTTAAACTTTTTAATTAATGTCAATTAAAGCCAATCCATGTTTTCTTGTGTTTTGTCCAACTAAGATTTGCTTTTAATTGAAAAGTCAATAAAATTAGGACATCATCTTTTTGTTTGTTGACCATTGAAACTCTCTAAGTTATAACTTTGAACTCAACTGCTATTGGATAATGCATGGATCATCTATCTCATCATAAGACATGTTTATTGTTTATGTAAGTGGGGGAGAGAATTCAATCAGGTTAGGTAGAGGGAAATATGTGAAACAAGGAATTGGGTAAACCTGAAAGGAGACGCAACAAAAACTTGAACAAGTCGGCAAGAAGCCTCCTTACAATACTTTCTACAGTACAACGAATCGCAGTGGACTTACTTTTCCTCTCTTCCTTTCCCAATTGGCTACATTAACTCTATTACCTACTCATGGTTTATTACAATTCTCTTGTACTCTTCTCGAATTCTACTTTTCAGCAAAGTGTTTATTTTTATCTTTGCATTACCGGGTATTTGTTTGCTGAGGAAGACTTTTTTTCCCCCCAGGGATTCCCATACCTTGTTTCAAATATTTCCTTTTCATTGTGTAACTTATTTTATTTACAAACTAATTAATAAGAAATAAGTAGATTCATTATGTTGACATTGTTGGTTAACAGAAAAATTAGTAGGTCCTGTAAATGACACATCGAACACAATTTCTCACATGTTTCAGATATTTGTTGATTTGAGTAGTATTTGGACCTGTGTCACAGCAATCCAAGCTGCACACATGGCAACATAACTAGTATTGCCTGCTTTAATATTCATCTCCTTGGTGAAGAATCTGCACCCCTAAGGGAAGACGACCCTTAAATATTATTCTCTATTTTGATTTTACTAGTTACCTCATACATTTTTGTGCTTGCATTCTAAAACATGTGCCTCACGTTCTATACAATGGAAATGTACTTGAGTCGGTCTGATAATGTTCAAATACTTTTAAACAAGATAATAAAAACATTCAAAAAGGATGACCACTAATATAATGATCTTAGAAATTGTTACAGTTTACAGCAATGGCTTCAGGATAAATATCAGGTGACCCATCAGTTGCAATAAATGAAGAATTTCCACTTGGAGCCAAATCCAATGACTAGTTACAATAGTATTTCTAATCTTGATTGCACAAATTTTTCATTAAAATGTGTAAATTGGTCAGTATAGTGTTGACTGATGTATATTTCCAGTTTTACTCACTGAAATTATTGGTGTGAATCAATATTTAAATCTATAGTTTGTACTTTTTTTAAAATCTTAAATGAACCACTACAAAATGAGACATCCTTATTCCTTTTTAATTTCCTCAATGCTATCATTGATAGTATCAATTTATTTTAAATGGATGTCATAGTTCAATTGTGTAAAAAAGCAGATTTTGGAAATTTAGTGTCTAAAATTTATATGAAACAACTCGTTCTAAAAAATAGTAACATAACATATATTTCATCATGTGCTAGTTACTCCTTCCATTGGCATTTCTCATTTTGTAGTGCCTAAAGCTATTGTTCATATACAACATATAATCTTTGTATTTGTTGATAATTCTCGGTTCACAAAAATGTTTTTGTATATATTTATACAGTGTTAAAAATATTAAAAATTACCATCTCCCTTGATAAAATGCAGTGCCCTATGACCTTCTTTTGTTTTATTTCAGTTGTAATAAATGGTGAAAATATATTGGCCAAGAGAACGCAGAAGCTTGTTGATGATTTTTTCCATCTGAATTTGAGCCCCTGTAGTTGTCAAGGCATTGCTACCTATGTGTTTGAATGTGGTGGTGCTGTTGAGTAAGTGGTACGGGGTCTCTCAGTCCCGACCAAGGAAAGACAACTTAGTGTTGCAGTCCTTGATAGCATATGTGGAAAGGCAGGTGGTGATGGTGCTGATGAGCCACAATATGGCCTTGCCTCCCTTCCCTGAAATTTAGGTTAGTTCCCTTATGATGCAACACATGCGTGCAAGGTCTTGTAAAATGATAACAGGGAGAGCCATCTAGGATGGCCCGTTTTCTGCATGATGACGGAGAGCCATCTGGGATGGCCAGTTTTCTGCATGACAGGGAGAGCCATCTAGAATGGCCAGTTCTGCATTTCAACCTTTGATAAAAAAAAGATAAGGTCTGAGGTATGCGACAATCTCAGATATTTGGCTTCTGGTGTGACCTGCTTCCTTTTCACAACCTGCCCTCTCCCTGCTCATCATGTTTTATATCAATAGTACTTAGTGAAAAGGAAAAAAAAGACTGTTAAACAGCAAGCATCATGCACGACAGTTGAACACAGGTGAAGACAGTTGAACTCAGGTCAAGACAGTTGAACTCAGGTCAAGACAGTTGAACACAGGTCAAAAGTTTGAAAATTTTTAGGGGTTGGCGACTATATTTGTTATCAATAAAATGCAAGTGGCAGGAGTTAGGGTTTAGGACTAGTTCTCAAAATATCAGGACCTGGTGGAAAAACTGCAACTGGTTAAGCCCTAGTATTAAGTTTAGGAACCCCTCATTAGAAAAGGTAGATGATCTTTGCTATAATACAATTAATTGCATGATTTTAATTTATTAAATAACTTTTCATTTACCCGGTATTTGAAAAAAACAAACAAGAACATATCATTCAAGATTTGTTGTATTACATAGCGGTAGCAAGACAGACATAATGTTGTATGTAATAAAACTGGACACAACAGAAACAGCCCAGAAGAAGATATCAAATCTGATGAATCCTCTCAATCATTCAACTGAAGTGGTCATCTGTCAGAATCTTAAGAAAACAATATGTTTGAGATCCTACCCCACATGAAATTCTTTAAATATTAGCTTGAGAAGTGAAGTTAAGAAAAACAAAACTAAGTAAGATAACATTCGATATCTGACCCAAGTCAATGATAACATTCTACATCTGGTCCAAGTCAATGATAACATTCGATATCTGACCCAAGTCAATGATAACATTCTATATCTGATCGAAAAGAAAATGATAACATTCTATATCTGATCCAAGTCAATGATAACATTCTATATCTGATCCAAGTCAATGATAACATTCTATATCTGATCCAAGTCAATGATAACATTCTATATCTGATCGAAAGTAAATGATAACATTCTATATCTGATCCAAGTCAATGATAACATTCTATATCTGATCCAAGTCAATGATAACATTCGATATCTGATCCAAGTCAATGATAACATTCTATATCTGATCCAAGTAAATGATAACATTCTATATCTGACCCAAGTCAATGATAACATTTTATACCTGATCCAAGTCAATGATAACATTCTATATCTGGTCCTAGTGTTCATGCCATGTCAGCTGATTAATATTGTACTACGCTTTGATTATTTATTGTGAGATCTGCCATTGGGTGATTCCCCCTACAGAACGCGAAGACCATTTCTTTTGTTTTTGAGGCATTCATCTGAAGAAAATTTACAACACACCAACCGATAAAGCTTGTAACTAGGTTGCCGTATAAGCAGTCCCATTCAGATTTTCAGCCAAGGATCATCAGCAAATTTAATGTTTGGAACTTAAGTCAAGTTAAAGAAAGAAAACTAAAAATGTTAGTGGGAGACAAATCACAATTTTAAATTATGGTAGCAATTCAATAAGGCTAACTGAAATTCTGCTAGTACATAGTACCGGTACTGTTTACATAGATAGGCATGGCATTTACATACACATAGTACTGTTTACATGGATAGGCATGGCATTTACACATAGTCCTGTTTACATGGATAGGCGTGGCATTTACAAATTATTATTATTTAGAATAAATAAGGAAACAATAATGGACAATGAACTTACAACATTACACAGCATTTTGTGCAGTTGTCTGATTTAGTTACAAGATTGTCTTACAGTAAACAATAATAATTGACAATCTTTATATCTCTGTAAATAAAAACAAAATGACAGGTGAAGTTTCCAGAGGAAGGTGAATATTGCATTTAAAGTATTCCATTAAATACCTCGTCTCATTGATTCAGTCAGTATCAAACACTTTGGACCAAGGGCATTAATTGTGGATACACATTCCATCCTTGAAACAAGGGAACAGATAGTTTCACTTATAATTGTCAGTTGTTATTCAGTACCATTTCCAGAATCCTGTTGTAAGCCTCATGTATTGCAATGTTCAGTTGTTATGCAGTGCCATCCCCAGAATCCTGCCTTAAGACTCAAGTGAGACTGCAACAGTTTCTTTTAGAAATGCATAAAACTCATTTCAGATCTCATACAGAAAACAAAAGATTTCTCCTCTAAAGAAAATTTCATTTATTCATTTTTATGTCGGCTCAATTTTAGTTTCTTGGAACCATCATCCGTCTGACCTGTCTCTGTCAATATACTGTGTTTCCTTTTTTCCTGCACCTGGTCTCGATCTGTCATTTCGCCTGACTTCTCCTTATCAGTAAATAGTCTGTCTAACTTGCTGTCAGACAATTTGTTTGAGCTCTCGGCTGACTGAGACTTCATCTAAAGTAAATTAAAAAAAAAAAACATTTTGTTTAAAAATTAGAGACGTAGGAGGTCATGAAGTTTTTAGAGTTAAACACCCCAAAACTCTTGGCCTTTAGAGTCAAATAGAAAATTTGATCAATAATTATGAATCTATTCTCTTAGACCCGATTTTTAAAAAAAATAATCGCCTGCTCAAATAATTAATAAGCATAGTAAGTGCCAGACACAATGGTGATACATACGTTTTCTTTGCCAAGACTGGAACTCATGGCGTGTTGCTGTGTCCACTGTTGAGCTTTCTTTGCATAAGTTGTGTAATCATACTTAAACTCTTGCCACTGTTGGGAAGAAATTCTCAATTAATCCATAGAGTAATGAAATATAGATGGTGAGGAACTACAAGAGCTGCCATATTTTATTGAATGAAGATTTGGTCTCATGCTATTTTCTTAAAAGAAATGGATGTCTCTATGACTGAACTGTATTTAATCATCATTCTATTATTCATCAGATGTGAACCTTATGACTTATGATATGTAGAGTTATATATAAATAAATGAGTGATATGTGAATTCTCAGACTTGTATTATTACAGTTGTGAAAAATAATTTGTAATTAACCCCCGTATCTGATATTCATGGAGGTATCCCCTCTGTTTATAACAACTTATAGCAGCAACATATCAGTATTGGCAGAAAGGTCACAAAATCCATATGCTAACTGTATGTTTCAGTGTGATTACTATAATCGTGACCATAGTTCAAACAGTTTTACACAAATTTTATTGTGAAAGCCCAGATTCACTTTGAGCCATCTAGCAGAGTAAGTCAAGTAGTACTGGTTGTGTGTAGTCTAAAAGCTAAAAAGATGTGTTAGTATTGTGCAGTCTAAAAACTAAAATGATGTGGTAATATTGTGTAGTCTAGACTATAAAATGATGTGGTAGAATTGGATAGTCTAGACCATAAAATGATGTGGTAGAATTGTGTAGTCTAGACCATAATATGATGTGGTAGAATTGTGTTGTCTAGACCATAATATGATGTGGTAGTATTGTGAAGTCTAGACCATAAAATGATGTGGTAGTATTGTGTAGTCTAGACCATAAAATGATGTGGTAGAATTGTGTAGTCTAGACCATAATGTGATGTAGAATTATGTCGTCTAGACCATAATATGATGTGGTAGTATTGTGTAGTCTAGACCATAAAATGATGTAGTAGTATTGTGTAGTCTAGACCATAAAATGATGTGGTAGAATTGTGTAGTCACACCATAATATGATTTAGAATTGTGTCGTCTAGACCATAATATGATGTTGTAGTATTGTGTAGTCTAGACCATAATATGATGTGGTAGTATTGTGTAGTCTAGACCATAATATGATGTTGTAGTATTGTGTAGTCCAAACCATAATGTGGTAGTATTGTGTAGTCTAGACCATAATATGATGTGGTAGTATTGTGTAGTCTAGACCATAATATGATGTTGTAGTATTGTGTAGTCTAAACCATAATATGATGTAGTATTGTGTAGTCTAAACCATAATATGATGTGGTAGTATTGTGTCGTCTAGACTATAATATGATGTTGTAGTATTGTGTCGTCTAGACTATAATATGATGTTGTAGTATTGTGTCGTCTAGACTATAATATGATGTTGTAGTATTGTGTCGTCTAGACTATAATATGATGTTGTAGTATTGTGTCGTATAGACTATAATATGATGTAGTATTGTGTCGTCTAGACTATAATATGATGTTGTAGTATTGTGTCGTCTAGACTATAATATGATGTAGTATTGTGTCGTCCAGACTATAATATGATGTTGTAGTATTGTGTCGTCCAGACTATAATATGATGTTGTAGTATTGTGTCGTCTAGACTATAATATGATGTTGTAGTATTGTGTCGTCTAGACTATAATATGATGTTGTAGTATTGTGTCGTCTAGACTATAATATGATGTTGAAGTATTGTGTCGTCTAGACTATAATATGATGTTGAAGTATTGTGTCGTCTAGACTATAATATGATGTTGAAGTATTGTGTCGTCTAGACTATAATATGGTACTCAAAAAAAGAAAACCAACCTAAAGAATGTCTCCATAAAACTAATCAAAGTTAAATACGGTTTGTGCCATCATTTCATTCGTTTGATTTGTCTTTTCAAAAACAAAAGTTGACCAAATTTTCCCGTTACACTCTTTTACTCTTGATATGAATCAAATCATTTCCATGGTCAAAACATTTTTGACACAACATTCTATATAAATAACAGAACATTCTATAATATAAAAAAGACACAACATTCTATAATATAAAAAAGACACAACATTCTATAATATAAAAAAAAAACAACATTATATATAGATAACAGAACATTCTATATAAATAACACAACAAGCTATTTAAACAACACACCATTCTATATAAATAACCCTCAAAATTATGCCTCATCATTAGCCTGCTCGACCAACTGATTCTATACATTATATCCAAATAATATGTGACTTACAATATCTGTCATGAGCGGGTCCTCAGATCCTGGCTCGGCCATTAAGACCCGAATCATCATTAACACAGTTGAGATGTTCAGACACGGACTCCATGTCCCCTGGCAAGTCATCAAGCATCAGCTACTATTATATTATGTCTTCAAAGACTGAAAGACTGAGCATGCTATTTGCACACCATGACCAGCTTTCTGCAGTCCAACTAATTATCCTAGGTACAAACCTAGGCAATAATTTTAAGTATTCCATGTAAGGACCATAATTATTTTTAAAAAATAAACAGTTTTTGGAGATTTAAAAAATCATATAATTTTAAAGGCATGCCTCACAGTTTTGTCCGCTTTGGTTCCAAGAAGGGCGGGTAAAAATTGAAATCTTCCACAATATTCACTAATATTAGTCATAGCGACAAATTCACCATAGATTTTAGCTAAGCACTAGATCAAAAACAACCTGACCTTGCCATGCTTACTAAGATAATCATTTCAACCACTGGGAGAAGTAGGTTGTCTAGGAAGACAGATGGTTGGAAATCACAGGGCTAAAGGGAGAAGGTAGAGTGAGGAGATGTGTCTGGTTTTGGCGTACCTAAAATAACCACTGGTGAGTCTTCGAGCGATCTGTAACGATCCGACACAAGAGGTGATTTTTGTAAAAGAGATTAATTAGTTGAGGTTTAGAGACTGGGTGGAAATGTGTATCAGAATAATAAGGAGATAGTGGGGCTAGGTTTGAATAGTGCAAATACTTTGAAACAAACAAACATCAAGACAGTTAACTAAGTGACCACATATTAATTTATTCTCCAATGTAATAAAATAGTATGTTGTGACATAGATGGGATGGATGAAGCATAACTGTAATGGTAGTCTATAAGAGATGGGACAGTGTTGTAGGGAAGGGTTGAAAAATGGCAGAAACCGACAGAGGGGTGGTGTTGTTTTTATTGATCAAGGTTGAGGAGAAAACAGGGATGATAGGAGAGAGGTGCTTTGAAGTTGGGGTGATGGATTTTGTGGATGGAGGGATGAGTTGATGGATGGACAGATGAGTTGATAGTAAGGGTTTAGAAGCAGAAATGAAAGACTATTTGGGGTAAATAAGAAATGCTGTAGAGTATGTTGAGTTGTAAAATTAAAAATAAAATAAAGAGAAAGAAATTGAAACAAGAGTTCACACTGGAGATTGTTGCCAATATGCATCTCATCATTTTAAAATCTCACAGGAGACGAAACATTTAGTTTCCATCAATTCAAAAACATTAAAGATGACATGAGACATCAAATAAACCATTAACCCTCAACCAAGGACACATTTTCTCTACCAAAGGTGCTTCCTTTCTTTGGACTATCACTTTCTCAATTAAGTGGAGATAATATGCACAGAAACATACACATTTTTTCAAATCAAAGCCACCCCCCCCAACACACACACCCACACGTCATGAAGCATGTGTATGTTTACTTGTATGTATGATAAGGTTTGATTGAATTAGAATCAGTTACTTGTATGTATGATAAGGTTTGATTGAATTAGAATCAGTAAGTAAACCTGTGGCGGCAGCTTGAGCGTATCCATGCAGATCCTCCCGTTGCTGTCTATATTGGGGTGGTAGATGGGGGTCACAAAGTGAATGCTGGGGGGTTGAAAAGGATATCTGTGAAAAGAAGTGGTAGATAGCGGTCACAAAGTGAATGCTGGGGGGTTGAAAAGGATATCTGTGAAAAGAAACACAAAAGTTGACAAATGTCTACAATCATTTCTGACCAAATGGTTGCAATTGGATTGTGTTAACAGTCGGGTCACAATTGATCAAGTGTATCTCCGTAAGTCGCAAAGTTTTAGCCACGTACACTGACTTAAGTCATGCTTTGAGAAATAAATGAACTGACTTGGAATAAACCATTATGTAAAAAATTATTTAAAAATAAGGGAATTTATTTAACATTACTTCATGAGATCAAATGGTTCGATACACATCATATAGTTATTATACAACAATTTAATCAACTCAGGTTTTTTTTTATATCATAGCTACTTAATTACAGGTTACAGATCGATGAATCTTAACCCATCATAAATTTTTGAAACTCTGCTTAATATCTAATTGCATGTTCCAGCAACTATATTTTATATTACATGTCTATATTTTATATTACATGTTAGATTTCTTTTAAAAACCGCATTGTATTTACGAATCTTTTTAAAAAATCTCTTCAAAATAAGTACCAATAGGTATAAAGTAAAACTGATAAACATACCTTTCTGGAATTTGAATTTCAAGCTGAAATAGACCACCTTCATATGGAGTACCAGTTGCACCTATGATTTCTGAAATGATAATAAATAATTTACGACCTTTTTTTACTCAAGAATTATTTATTTAAAATAAATTATTAATCCTTCAATATCAAAATATTATTGATCACTTTTAGGAATCCACTCCCTTTAATGCGTGATTGTCTCTCGGAGGGGGGGGGGGGTTGTGGGGGTTAATGTACTTATGTTGTACCATTGTGGGTATCTTTCATCTGATGACAGTTCTGTGGTGTAGTCCTCTATTTTTTCTCTTTGGACATATTACAATTTATTAGGCCACTCTAATTATGCCTAGCAATGTCTCTCGGAGGGGGGGGGGTTGTGGAGGTTAATGTACTTATGTTGTACCATTCTGGGTATCTTTCATCTGATGACAGTTCTGTGGTGTAGTCCTCTATTTTATCTCTTCGGACATATTACAATTTATTAGGCCACTCTAATTATGCCTAGCATGAGCCTACAGTGCCAATTACATTTATATTTACTGTACAGTAGTACGCCAAATTATCCAAACTGCCTGTCTCTTTTTATTATTATCCTATCAAATGTGCTTGGCGTGGAGCATTGACGTGCAAACACGAGAAAATAATTCGGAACCCTATATCAAAATACAGGTAAAAATCTAGAAATTTACTTTAAGTTTATTAACGGACTGTGATAACGTGACCCGTAAGCTTATTAATTAATATGTATTGCAGAATATATGTTGGCACCAATTATTTATTTTTTTAAACATCTTTTTGCTGAAAGAAATTCCTGTCCTTCCCGTTTTTTTAAATCAATCAGCTGACACCCATACATTGCGTTAGAAGCACAAATTTTGGTATGCTATGCCCTTACTTCTGTGTAACAAAGTCCCATTCATTATGTGGGAGTGTTCAGATATCTGAAAAAAAATAATGGGATATCCAAACCACCTGGGCCCCAGGTCCTAATTAGTTTAGATGACCCGCATTCTACCTACACTGTATCATAAACTAAGATAGTGGCTGAAGAAAGATTTTAATGAGTACATAGGCCGAGACAAACTTGTCTTATATTATTTTGAATGACATTGGTTGTATGTATTCATTCCCATAATAATGGACAATTTTTTTTTAAAATAGAAAAACTATAACAATTTTTTTGAAATAGAAGATAATGTGTGAAAATGGAATTATGCATAGTTCTCCCCCAAGTTGACAATGAAGTTTTAAAAAATATAATTTCCACGCAAATGGTTGTGGCACATGAATCCACGTAAATATGAAGGGGAAAGATCCCCGGCGCTTCTTGTGCCAAACTGTCTTTTCAGTTTACGCTTTCTGAGCATTCACGTTTTCCACATTTTGTGTGTGGACATCCATGTCATCTGGATCAAAAAAAATAATTGTTGTCTCTTTTTCTTCATGGCATATCGGTAGGTACTTGGGTAAACCAGTTTTCTGCTAGTGTCAAATAATTGCAGAGTTACGTGCCCCTTGTTCAACTTTTTGTCCACTTCAAAATGTAAACATTGCATATGCATTGGGAAAAAATGTGTTTTGTGGTTGTTTCTTTATTAAATAGTTAGTGTGATATATCATTTTAAAGAGAATTGGAAGCTGAATAATACAGTGTCTTCATATTTTTAATCACGTTTGAAAAACAAAAATATATATCAAGTTGAATTAAGCCAAGTGTACTATTTAATATCTCGCAGAGACTCCACCAGACGCGATTTTCATGATAACCACTGTTTAGAGCACCCAATTATCTACAAGAATGGGCAAATTAAAAGTCCCCCCAACCTACCCCAACGATTTTATTAAATTTTCAAAACAGTCACCACATGGTTGTTTCCTCCCTGGATATCATTTTCAAGATGACCGAACCCACCTCAGCAAATCATTTTTAAATCTAAAGTAATCTGATTAATAAACAATGCTAAAAGCACTATTTTAAGTTATTTTAGGTTTATATTATTAACAAAAAAGACATATGAATAGATATTTAATTTTATTTCTTTATTTAAATAGTGAAACTTCCACTCCCAAATAATAGGCCTATTAGGGCGTTTGGTCTAAGCTACCTGACACATTTGTAGCGTGGAAATATGAAGAAAAGTTTATTTTATCTTCATAATAGATTTAAAATTAAGATTTGTTTATTATTTAGATGAATTGATACTTTGAAATGATTCACACACACAAAAATATTTTGTTTTATTTTTTTAAAGGCCTATCCAATGACATTGACATCATAATGTTAATCATATTAGCAATTTGTAGGCAATAGTTGAAACAGCACAATTCTTTTTTAATTGTAGGGATTCTATGAAAAGCTAATGCTACACTTAGCAAACAGAATATAGAATTGAAAGATACCCCTATGCAAGAAAAACTCCTACTATAATATACATATTGTACATTTAATATCAGATATTGATTTGCTATCAGTATCAGAGATATAAAATAAATTAAATTTCTTAATGGACACATTGATTCACCCTTCCATGTGCTACTTATTATTTTTCCCCTTTTCAATACGAACAATTTGATATACATGACCCTATATTTTGAAGAATATTGTTCATGTTGTGTTCATATTCAAATATGACATATGGAAATTTTACGGCCCTTTTGAATATTAATGAGCTCATCTTGCGTACCGTAGAATTTATTATATGACGGCTGTTTGGATAATGTTATGACTATCACGGATATATATGGTTTGTAAAGTTGGCTTCATTAATTCATTAAATAACTTCACTTTACTGCTCTTTTTTAACATCTCTCCTAAATTTCTGCCCAAATTTTATTTTAGTCACTTTTATATTTTCCTATATGTCTCAATTAACAGAGTTATCCCAAAATAATTCACGAAAAAAATCATAACTTTCTTTAGAATTGACTACAAACATAAATTTGGCATCAATGAATTGCATTTTTCAGGCCCTATCTAACCAACTAGCTCTTAAAGCTATAAATTCATTTTGATAATTTTACCCATGTACCCAAGTTGACAATGAAGTTAAAAAAAATATAATTTCCACGAAAACGGTTGTGGTTCATGAATCCACGTAAATTATAGTAAATATGAAGGGGAAAGATCCGCGGCGCTTCTTGTGCCAAACTGTCTTTTCAGTTAATGTTTTCTGAGCATTCACGTTTTCCACATTCTGTGTGTGGACATCCGCGTCATCTGGATCAAAAAAATGATTGTTTCTCTTTTTCTTCCTGGCATATCGGTAGCTTGGCTGTAATAATTATTTAAATGTATTAGTATTGTGGTATATAACTTAATAGACTTAATAGCCTCTATACGGCAGCAAAAATATTAACAGACTCCAATGTAAGAATTAAATAACCCTTCCAACTGGATTTTTTTCTTGGCCGACGCTCAAGTGGTAGATTACAAAAAAAACTTACGTGCAGACAAAATATCGAGGCGATCATTATCAGGTGCAACACATGATATTCCAGAGGGAGGAGAGTTTGAAAACATAGCAAGCTCCTTCATCATTCTGCTCTTGAAGACGACGTTTAAATTAACAGACATGTTATGTTATCCTTACTCTTATCTTTAAATTGTTAAAGTTAAATAATGGAATATCTCCCGCTAATGGAAACCGGATGTTTTGAAATGAAATTGCTATCTTTACGTTGGTTGTACTTCGCTGAAAAGAATGTTGTAGTCTGGTAGAAACTAAAAAAAATAAAAATAATACTAAATTAAAGATTATACGAGGTTTGAAACATACCGGCAATAAGCTTGACCACGGCTTCGGCTAATGATGACAAAAAGTTTGTTATTTTATAGTTATAGTTTGTAAAAATGAATAAAGGTTTATGGACAAAATGTAAAAGTAATGTGTCAACAACAAAACAAAAAAACTTCACTTTTTTAACAACCATACTAAAGTCAGTAAAGTAGGGGAGACCGGGCTATGTTGTCTTACGGGTTGGTTTTCACGTCGATTAATATTTTAAAGACCGAAAAAGCTGTAAAACATTAAATCATAGGCTAAATACTCAACCAGTGGCGTAGCTAGGGTTGGCGTCACCCGGTGTGGTAAACTCATTGAGTCACCCCCCCCCTCCTCCTCCCCCGTCTTCCACGATGGATTTCTTCTTGTTTAAAAATACGTCCACAGTAAAACAAATACAAGAACAAAAACAAATTAACTGAAGGTCGGGAAGTCAATACATTAAGAACTGTAACAAAGTTAAGTCATAGTTATTTTGATATTAAATTTACTTTATTTAAAAAATGTATTTTCTTGTCTTCAAAGCTGAAAACCTGTCAATCACTTGATCAAAATCAACATTCTTCACCGTATCAATTTCAATTGATAGAAGAGCCAAATCTGAAAGCCTTAA